GGATTCCCCTGAGATAAATCATCAGCTGGTGGAGTAGTCCCTATGAAAGTGCTCCAACTGATATAATTTATAGCATCCCTTGGGCTACTCTATGTTGGAGGGAAACAGTCCACGGAATAGATTTGAGAGAATGGAAAGGTGACTGAGAGTCATCTTCACTTCCAGCCCAACCTCAGCTGCAGGAGCATGACATAGGGACAGCTGAGGGCTTGACCCCATATGCTTATTTTACAGCTCAGAGTGCATCCACTGAGGTAGACATAGTCTTTCTCACTGCTGACAGTAGTCTGAAATATTTAACCGAGGCAACAAGACAATAGCAAAAGTCTTTGGAGATTGCTTCACTCCCACTTATTCCTTATTATCATTTACCCAGATAAGTCAAAATATGTCCACAAAGATCAGCCAGCAAACTAGCAGCCGTACCTTGATAATAAGCCATCACTCAAAGTGTTTGCAGCATCAAGGCTGTCAACCAAATAATTTGGCAATTCCTGTTTCAACTACTTGAAAAATATAATTTTGATATTGTTTTAAAGTGCCAAAGCTATTCTACAATACTCCAAAAGCTGATCTCTTCTTGAAAAAGAACTCTGCATCAGCTGATGCTGTCATAGATCAAAGAACAATGGAGATCCTAAAACTCTTAGGGGTAAGGACTGTTGTTTACTGTATGTTTTCACAACAAATAGCACAGTGTAGCCCTGAATTAACTGGCTTCTAGGCACTACCAAAATATAAATCTGTGATAAATGTAGCCTCCTTGGTATTTTGGGGGCTTGAGAAAAGAAGCTTCCAGCAGCTCATGCAGTCAGAAGCACAGAGGATTGGGGAAGTGCTACTGAAACTGCTTGCCTGGCTTTTGCTTGAGGGACACAAACTGCTTGTGAGGCCTGGGGACCTGGAGTCTGACTGACAAAGCAGGGCAAACACATACAGACCCTGCATAGCCTGTACATGGCTGGGACCATCCTGACATTGGAGCTGCACCAGACAGACCCCTTGTTTGGGAGGAGAAGGAGTTACCATATCAGAACCTGCTTGCGTGGCCTGGAAGACCATCTGCAGACCCCGGAGAGCTTGCATATGCCTAGAACCAGCCTGACATGTGCACAGAGAGCTGGGCAGGGGCACTGTTTGTGGGAGACAGCTGGCTGCAAGGAGTTGGGTTACAGCAGCAGGAGGAGAAGCAGACCTAGCATTGCTCCCTGTAGCAGAAGGGAAAACAGCCATTTTATCTCTCTCAGCCAGAGGGCTTGAGACTGACCTAGAACCCCTAGCTCCACAAAGAAGAGACTGAGTTCCAACCCAGTGCTGTGCCTGTGAGGCGCAACTGTCAGACGCACCCCAGAGGCCTCCCGCTATGGTTGTCAACAGTCCCTTATTACAAGGAACATCCTAATTTTTTATTTCTCTACAGCAACATTGAGAGTTGCTGAGGGATGGTGGAGTTGGAGCTCAGTAAGAAGGGCTGGTATCCCCCACTGGGAAACCAATAGCTCTTCCTTTTGGCTGGAGTAGCCCTGCTGACATCAGGCACTGTAGGGTTGCCAACTTTCTAGTCACACAAAACCAAACACCCCTGCCCTGCCCCCTCTCTGAGGCCCCGCCCATACCCCACCCCTTCTCTGAGGCCCCGCCCCCACATCACTCACTCTTCTCAACCCTCACTCATTGTAACCGGGCTGGGGCAGAGGGTTGGGTGTGGGAGGGGAGGTATGGGCTCTGAGCTGGGAGTGGAGGCTCTGGGGTAGGGCCGGGGATGAAGGGTTTGGGGTGCAGGAGGAGGCTCCGAGCTGGGTCAGGGGATTGAGGTGCAGGAGGGGTGAGGGCTCTGATTGGGGGTAGGACCGGGGATGAGGAGCTTGGGGTGCAGGAGGGGGCTCCAGGCTGGGCCAGAGGGTTGGGGTGCGGGGTTATGGCAGCACTTACCAGGGCTCTTGGAAGTGGTCGCCAGGTCCCTGCGGTCTCTAAGTGCATGGGCGGCCAGGCAGCTCTGTGCGGTACACACTACTTTTACGCCCGCAGGCACCGCCCCCCGCTCCCATTGGTCGTGGTTCCTGGTCAGTGGAAGCTGTGGAACTGGTACTCAGGGTGGGGGCAGCGCGTGGAGCCTCCCAGTCCCTGGATGCCCTAGCGTCTAGGGGCCGCAGGGAGACGGCGGCCCCTTCCAGGAGCTGCAAAGAGCCAGGGCAGGCAGGGAGCCTGCCTTAGCCCCAGTCCGCTGCTGAGCCACCGACCAGACTGGTGTAGGGGAGCGTGTTGTACTCCTAAAGCCAACTAATCTTGTTGTCTACCACTTCAGAGCTCACCTCCCTTCCAACACTACAAAATAATTTAATTTAGTCTTACAGCAAGGAACAAAATCACTAGTTGCTTCTAAACTAAACTACAATTCATGCCCAGCTGGGTAGAGTTAGGAAAAGTTTCTCATCTGGGAGGATATTTTGCCAATAATTATAATAAGGTATGGAACTGTTCAGAACCAACTATAATCTCTCAAATACTTTTAATTATCTGCACCCTGTTTTCAAGACTCAGCTAGAGAACAAGTGAGAGTCTCACAGAAATACAAACTGAGAAATCTCTTTCAGTATGGATGGACTCCAAGCAATTCATCTCTGAAATAGTCTCTTCATGCTCCATGCAGTGAACTCTGAGAATAGAAACTCAATATTATGTTGACTAATGATCATTGCTTTGAGATGTTGCAACATCCAACCTCATTCCCAATGTGCTGTAGATTGTCTGCCTCAACTCTTTCTTTAAACAGCTAAAATTCTTTATATAACATAGATTGCAAAATAGGACTTGTCATACTAGTTCAGAATGGTGAACCATCCAGTCTAGTAAGGTATTCTACATCTGGCAGCAGCAAATACAGGGTGGACAAACTTTTTGGCCTGAGGGCCACATTGGCGTTGTGGCCTCTATGGAAGGCCGAGTAGGGAAGGCTGTGCATCCCCAAATTGCCTGACCCACACCCCCTATCCACTCCCTCTCACTTCCCGCCCCATGACTGCCCCCCTCAGAACTCCCAACCCATCCAAGCCACTCTGCTCCTTATCCCCTGATCACCCCTCCCAGGACCCTTGCCCCTAACCACCCCCCCAGGACCCCACCCCCTGTCCAACTACCCCTGCTCCCTGACTGCCCCAACCCCTATCCACACCCCCAACCCCAGGCAGGCCCCCCAGGACTCCCATGCCTATCCAATCCCCCTGTTCCCTTTCCCCTGACCCCCCCGAACCTTCACCCCATCCAACTGCTCCCTGCTCCCTGTCCCCTGACTGCCCCCTGGACCCCTCTGCCCCTTATCCAACCCCACCGCTCCCCGCCCCCTTACCATGCTGCTCACAGCAGCAGGAGCTCGCAGCTACACTGCCTGGCCAGAGCCAGCCACGCCGCCCACGCTGCCCGGCAAGAGCAGCAGGCTGGTGGCGCACGCTGAGGCTGTGGGGGAGAGGGGACAGCGGGGGAGGGGCCGGGGGGCTAGCCTCCCCAGCCGGGAGCTCAGGGGCAGGGCAGTACTGTCCCATGGGCTGGATGTGGCCCGCGAGCCGTAGTTTGCCCACCTCTGAGCTAATAGATGCCTCTGAGGAAGGGGTACTCCTGGGGGAATTTTGCATCACTGCGCGTGCGCAAAATTCATGACCTCTGCATATTTCTTTGCTTCCCTGCAGAAAAATTATTTCTAACGGGGATACAAAGGGAAGCCGCAAGAGTGGTTATGTGCCCCTCCCCAGCAGTGCAGACAGATCAGTTTGGCTGCCCGGAGCAGCCAGTAGAGACACAAATCTCCGCAGGGACAGGAGAGCTGGGTAGTCATACATATGAGAGAGAGACACTCTGTTCCTCTCACTCGCTATTGTGGTATGCTTGGTGTGGAGGGGCAGGGCTTTGGGGTGTTTCTCAGGAGGTAGGTGTGGACCAGACTCTATCCTCTCAGGCAGAACAGAATGTAGCAGTCTGCCTGCTTAGTGAAGTGTTCTCATTCTTCTTACTGAATTCCCCCAGGAGTATAAAACAGGTGTAAAAATTTTAAAGCTCCTTTACATTGCCAGAGTGATGTAAAGGAGCCTTATTGTAAAGTGTGGCCTTAGAAATGCTTATGGCGCTTTAGTGATTAGAACCTGTCTAAATTTTGGGACTGAAAAGATTTCATATCAAAATGTGCTCCATGAACTGTTTGCTACTGACCTTTCTGGAGATGGTCAGTAGCCAATATTGTGAGTTTGAGTTCCCAGCCCTCACTTGCTCTTCAGTTGCCTATGATGTAACAGTGAGCAGATGGCCATATATTTGTTGACTAACAACTAGAAGAAAGGGTCAATGCTAGCTACATTACTATTAGACAGAGGGGGTTTGGGGATTTCCTCCAATGCTCCCCACTCCAATTCTCCATCCATTATATTGCAGTTTAATTACCAAAATAATTGAAACCAGCATGATTATGGTTGTGTTATTTTGACAAACAAAATATGTAGAATTTTGCAGAATTTTAAAATATTCTGCACATAATTTTTAATTTTTTGATGCAGAATTCGCCTAGGAGTAAAAAGGAACAAACCCTGGAGTGGACAATTATGGAATAATCTGCCCATGAGGGAAACTTATTCCTTACTCCAGGAAGTTAGTGCCTGCGTTATTCCAGGTGGCCGCATGAAGGCTTATAGCCCTGAAACAGTTTTAATCTTAACTAATACAAGGCTGGGTGTTCTCACTTCACTGTCCATATAACTAGCCCTTCCCTTTTTTGCTATGACGGCTCTGGATCGCCGTGGTAGTGAGTTCCACAGGCCAATTGTGGGGGGTGCAAAAGAAGCATTTCCTTATGCCGCTTTCGGCGTGTGCCGAGGGCTGCTGCACCCTGCTGAGCCACCTGGCCCAGCGCCCGCACTCGGACTCCTGCACTGCCCCTTGTTTGCTTCTCGCTGGGTGCCAGCAGACCATCCCTCGCTTTCTCTCCCCCCTCCACCGTGAGTGGTACCTTCCTGGGGATGATGAGTCACGTGGCGCGCCACACACTGGGCGTGGGTGGTGTGGTCTCAGAGCCGAGTCACATGATACCGCTTTTCTCCTGGTTCCTGCGCGTGCCGGCTCAGTCAGTGTGCGGTGGCTGCGCGGGGCCCAGCAGCAGGATGAGTATCTCGCGCTGGTCGCTGCTGGCGGTCACTGCCGCTGCGGCGCTCGCGGCGCTGGCCGAGGACCCGGTGAGCGGGGCATGCTGGGCTGCTGCGTGGGGCAGGCTGCAGGGCTACTCCCCGCGGGTGACGGCTGGAGGTGCGGGGCTTCGCCCTTCTCCGAGCCTCACCCGCAGCGCCTTGCTGGGAAGCACCGGGGGGAACTGCAGCTGCGCCGGGCCGGGCGAGGGCTGCCCCTGCTTGCGGGACGGAGCGCGGCCCTCACCGGCCCGGGCACTCTCTGGGGTTGTGCCCCTTTGCAGCGCTCTCCTCTCAGGCAGAGGCGGCCCTCGCCTGATTCGGCCTCTGGGTCCCCGGGGGAGGACGCGGAGCCTTGTCGGTACTAGTTATGTGCATGGGCCGCACCTCGCTCTTCAAGGCACCGCCCTAGGCTGAGAGAGGAGTGGGCTGCCGCGCCTGGGTTAATAGCAAGTAGGTGGGGGCTTAGGATCCTGGGAGTCAAGCTGGTTTCAGTTGTTCTTGTAATTGGTATCGGTCTAAACTTTCAGAGTGGGGTTCCCGAAATTCGGCACTGCAGCCTGACCTTCCAGCATGGCATAGGTGCAGTGCTTCTGACTGCTTCTCTTAGTATCTTATCCTCTGGCTTCAGGGGAGGCTGGGGGTGTGTAGCTGTTCTGAAAGTTAGGCCACTTATCTAGGTACTGAATTCCAGGTGGCCAAACTCATAAACGGTAGCCCTTGTTAATGATGTAGGAGCTTGGTGTATTGTTGTGCAGAAAGTGGTACTGTATAGTCTACAGTAAGAGCAACTGCTTTTCAGCCTGTTTTATGCGCTGCTGAAGTTATGGGTTCCCCTCTTCTTAACTATTTGCCCCAAACCACTCTTTGTATGGGTTATTTATAATGTACAGCTTTATTCGGTAAAGCAGGAGATGGTTGGGGCTGTTTACATTGTTTAGTGATGCCCTGAACTAGTTAACCAGTGGTCTTGTTGTTTAAGCAGGGTGATTTAAAATGTGCAGAACTTTATTGGGAAAACTTGATTATTCTCTGTAGAAGGTATAGGCAGAAAACTAGTATTTAAATGAGATCTTCTAGGAGTAACCAGAAGTATTTATTATTCTGCTTCATATGACAAAACATACAATTAACATGTTCCCTGGGTTAGGAAATGTACAGACAAGATAATACACAGAAAAACCAGGGGTGGTGGCCTATGGGAGAACATTTGTAAGACCCCACTTTCTCTAAAAACTCCACTGAAGTTAGTGTCCCAGGGAACTTTTCAGAATTGAAGCCTGGATTTTCTTCAGTGGAAAAAGAAAACACTTGAAAGTTTGCGCAATAACCAGAATAGCAGAAGTCTATCCAAGCTAGTTAAACTCCTAGCTGATTAAATTTACACAAATTGGCTTTTGAGGTAGCCCGATGCAGCAAGTGAGCTAGAGCTCACAAAAGCTTATGCTCAAATAAATTTGTTAGTCTAAGGTGCCACAAGTCCTCCTTTTCTTTTTGCGAATACAGACTAACATGGCTGCTACTCTGAAACCTGTAACTTTCCTACACCTCTGAATTAATCCTCTCAATACCTGTAACTTCATTTCAGTAGTAGATGAAGTGAGCTGCGTGTATACATTTGTGAAGTGCTTTGGGATACTTTGAGATGAAAAAATGTTTGAATATTTGGATTACAGTAGTTTCTAGAGACCTCATTCAGAATTGGGACCTCATTGGGCTGGAAGCTGTGCAAACAGTAATAACTTAAATGCCTGTCAATATAATGACAAGTTTCAGAGTAGCAGCTGTGTTAGTCGGTATCCGCAAAAAGAACAGGAGTACTTGTGGCACCTTAGAGGCTAACAAATTAGAGCCTAAGCTTTCATGGGCTACACCATCATAGAACCTAATCACATAAGCCGTGCCTTAAGGGTTTGTTCACCTGCACATCTACCAATGTGATATGCCATCATGTACACTGGCCAAACCAGACAGTCTCTGTGCAAAAGAATAAATGGATGCAAATCTGACATTAGGAATCATAACATTCAAAAACTGGTAGGACAGCACTTCAACCTCTCTGGCCACTCAGTAAAAGATTTAAGGGTGGCAATTTTGCAACAGAAAAGCTTCAAAAACAGACTCCAAAGAGAAACTGCTGATCTTGAATAAATATACAAACTAGATGCCATTAACTTGGGTTTGAATAGAGACAGAGTGGCTGGGTCATTACACATACTGAATTTATTTCCCTGAGTTAAGTATCCTCACACCTTCTTGTCAACTGTCTAGATGAGCCATCTTTATTATCACTACAAAAGTTTTTTTCCTCCTGCTAATAGCAGCTCATCTTAACTAATTAGCCTCTGTTTGTATGGTAACTTCCAACTTATCTGTATGAAAAAATATATATATTTTCCTCTTACTATATGTTCCATTCTATGCATCTGATGAAGTGGGCTGTAGCCCATGAAAGCTTATGCTCTAATCAATTTGTTAGTCTCTAAGGTGCCACAAGTACTCCTGTTCTTTCTGCCAATATAGTTAAGTTTTGTTTTAAGAAGAGTCCTCTGACTTTCTTCTCCCTAGTCCACAGCAACTTACAACAGAACAATTGCTTCCTTTTATGACTTTCTGTGGTCTAGGTAACAGTTTTCTTGTTTCATAAGAAAGGAGTCCAGGAGAGCTGGCTGTATTTTAAAGAATCCTTATTGAGGTTACAGGAACAAACCATCTCGATGTGTAGAAAGAATAGTAAATATGGCAGGTGACCAGCTTGGCTTAACAGTGAAATCCTTGCTGATCTTAAATACAAAAAAGCTTACAGGAAGTGGAAGACTGGACAAATGACCAGGGAGAAGTATAAAAATATTGCTCAGGCATGCAGGAGTGAAATCAGGAAGGCCAAATCACACCTGGAGGTGCAGCTAGAAAGAGATGTTAAGAGTAACAAGAAGGGTTTCTTCAGGTATGTTAGCAACAAGAAGAATGAGGGAGGCAACCTAGTGACAGAGGATGTGGAAAAAGCTAATGTACTCAATGCTTTTTTTGCCTGTCTTCACAAAGAATGTCAGCTCCCAGATTACTGCACTGGGCAGCACAGTGTGGGGAGGAGGCTGTAACGATGCTGGTTCTTGCAGGACCCAACTGAGAGTGCCAATTGAGGACCAATTGCTTAAAGCAGGGCAGTTACAGCCCAAGGCTGGAGTTCTATGCACACCAAGGCAAACCAAAGCAGCTAAACAGAGAAGACTTCGGTTTTACCCCACTGGCTAACCACAAATCACACAAGCAATTCCCTTAGACACTCCAGTTTCCCAGTATTACCACCAGTGCCACTCATTATGGGACAGATGGGTATGAAAACCAATACCCCAGTAAAAGAAAAAAGGTTCTCTCAATCCCAAAGGACCAAGCCCCAGACCCAGGTCAATATACAAATCAGATCTTACCCACAAATCACGCTGTTGCCAATCCTTTAGAATCTAAAATCTAAAGGTTCATTCATAAAGGAAAAAAATATAGATGAGAGCTAGAATTGGTTAAATGGAATCAATTACATACAGTAATGGCAAAGTTCTTGGTTCAGGCTTGCAGCAGTGATAGAATAAACTGCAGGTTCAAATAAAGTCTCTGGAGTACATCCACAGCTGGGATGGCTTTCAGTCCTTGGTTCAAAGCTCCAGTGTAGCAAAGCTCCTCCAGATGTATGAAGCAGGATTGATGACAAGATGGAGGAGCTGCAGCAGTTTTTTATATTCTCTTGCCATGCGGTCTGTCTTTCTTTGTTCCAAAGACAAGTTGTCCATCACATGGCATGGAAAAACCTCAGAGTTCTGTCCATAGGCATGTCCCTGCATACCTTGCTGAGTCACAAGGCATGTCTGCCTTCTCTCAGTGGGTCACTTGTATAGCTGATGGTCCTTAATGGGCCATCAAGCAGGCTAGGCAGAGCTGACACCAACTTGTCTGGGGTGTCACGCAGAAGCATAGCACAAGTTTGAAATACAGACAGTATAGAGCCAATACTTAACTTTAAATACAAAAATGATACATGCATACAGATTGCATAATCATAACCAGAAAACCGTAACCTTGTCTTAGACACCTTATTTGACCCCTGTTATACAATTTTGGTGCTACTACAGGACCTTGGTTGCAACAATGTTCTATACAGTCCCAGTTCAAGTCAGTCACAGAGGCGACCAGCCATCTGTGGAGAGTGTGGTTCAGGACTATTTAGAAGAGCTGGATGAACACAAGTCCATGGGGCTGGATGCGCTGCATCCGAGAGTGCTAAAGGAGTTGGCGGATGTGATTGCAGAGCCATTGGCTGTTATCTTGGAAAACTCATGGTGATCGGGGGAGGTCCTGGAAGACTGGAAAAAAGCTAATGTAGTGCCCATCTTTAAAAAAGGGAAGGAGGAGGATCTGAGGAACTACAGGCCAGTCAGCCTCATCTCAGTCCCTGGAAAAATCATGGAGCAGGTCCTCAGGGAATCAATTCTGAAGCACTTAGAGGAGAGGAAAGTGATCAGGAACAGTCAGCATGGATTCACCAAGGGCAAGTCATGCCTGACTAATCTAATTGCCTTCTATGACGAGATAACTGGCTCTGTGGATGAGGGGAAAGCAGTGGACAGGTTATTCCTTGACTTTAGCAAAGCTTTTGATACGGTCTCCCACAGTATTCTTGCCAGCAAGTTAAAGTAATATGGGCTGGTTGAATGGACTATAAGGTGGATAGAAAGCTGGCTATATCATCGGGCTCAACAGGTAGTGATCAATGGCTCAATGTCTAGTTGGCAGCTGGTATCAAGAGGAGTGCCCCAAGGGTCCGTCCTGGGGCCGGTTTTGTTCAATATCTTCATTAATGATCTGGAGGATGGTGTGGACTGCACCCTCAGCAAGCTTGCAGATGACACTAAACTGGAAGGAGTGGTAGATACGCTGGAGGGTAGGGATAGGATACAGAGGGACCTAGACAAATTGGAGGTTTGGACCCAAAGAAATCTGATGAGGTTCAACAAGGACAAGTGCAGAGTCCCATGCACTGCTACAGACTAGGGACT